TATATATATATATGTATTGTTATTTATGTATTTATTTTATTTAGTTATTTATACATGCTTATACTATGTGTAAAGAAGAGAGAGAGAGAGAGAGAGAGAGAGAGAGAGATATATATATATACACATCCATACATATATATATATATATGTATATCTGTGGCTGATCCTTCTAGAGCTCTCTTTCAACCAAGCCTTTATATAAGCATTCATAGGCACACGGTTGAATACTTCATCGTACCTCATACGCTTAACTAAATTATTTTGCAAATTTACGTTTTACAGACTTATGTCGCGTGGGAAGGTGGTGGGTCTGCCATGTTGCGGCAGTCCCCCGTGAGAGCGCAGCGGATGCATGCCTGACTCCGTACTATGAAGTTAGTATGCTTACTTATAGTGATAAACTTTATTCATAAGTCATAAGCTTAATTTACATTTTAAACAACACACATGCACGACGAGCAGCCCAAAGGCGGAGGCGGATCTGGATTGTGTCGTGGGCTTATGTCGGTCGAACCTGTGCAGATACACGGTAGGCGGCACGATTTAAGGAAGACCATCTTGGAGGCTGCTGCGGTCTAGGGTTTTTGTCGAGTTTAGGGCCGCTCGGAGCCTGAATCATGATAACAAGGGGCTTGGGCACATGTACAGAGACTATAGAGCATACCACTACCTGATCATTCACCCTCCCTCCGCCCCCATGTGAGGCCACGCAAGCAGCAGCAGCAATCTACTCAAAAAGCTGAGTCCTGCCAGTGGATAAATTAACGAATGGTGTTTAAGCAAAACTCAGGCTGGTGCAGCCTCGGATATGACAAGAACCATCTCATGGAGAAGGTATTTCCTCAGTGGCGAACCAGGCTGAAACAGACTTGGGAACGCACTCCAGGCTGCGAATAGACAATGCCTCGATTTCGGCCGAAAAGCAGCACCAAGCCAGAGATGAAGATCTTGCCCCACCTGGGCCAACAACTACCGATGATGCAACGCCTTTTCCTTTGAGGCTACGACCCTGCGCCGCTAACCTTCATGAGCGATCTGACAGGGAAGCAGACGCCAGCTGATGCTCCCAGTGGTACTGGCCGCTGAGCTGAATCACCGAAACATCAGATCAGCTGACGGCTCTAGGCGCACGATACAAGGTTGAAAGCCGCGGCAGAGGCCCCGACAAATAGCGGAAGCGCGGATTCTACCGTCTCCAACCTGGACTTGAATGGCACACACGCAAGAGATGCGGTGCGGCCATTGGCAGAGGCGTCGGCGCAGTCACCACTAAAGCGGAAAACTGCCAGCAGCCCGTCAACTAGGTGCACAACAAACAGGATGTGCTTCTTCAACATTCGTAGCACATGTCAAACTGCAACGAACCTCCGGCAGCTTCTGTGCGCGTGGTGCAAGACAGGGCGAGGGAGAGCTGAAGGAGTCGCAGAAGGCGACGCCGAAGATAAACAGGGAAACAGGAAAAGGTGAGACTTGCGGATGAGATGGCAACTTGCTGAGGCAAGCAGAGTAAGCAAATGCCATGAACCAGGCTCAGAGCTCTCTGCAACATCTGACCTGGCAAGGTTTTGGCGGTGATGTTCAATTTATCTTCATCTTCTCTTGCAGCACGCCGTGGCACCACCGCGTCCTGCAAACATACTCATCAAAACATCCTGTGCTGTGCGAAAGCTAGCGCAGCATGTAGTCCTGCATTGCTGCACTCACAGGAACTCCAGCTTCTGCCTCAGTACACTGCAGGGACACTTGTCACAGGCACTTCCTCACGGAAAGACGTGAACCGGAATTTAGCTGCAACAGTCTCAGAGCTGGACAAGGTTGCACGGCCCATGGCACCTGCCTGAAGCATGTTGCACACCATAGCTAGGACAGCGAGAGCAATCATAAAGCGTGATCCCTGTCTGTCCTCGCTCGCGTCGATCTCTGCCATGGCCTTGCAGATACAGGCATGCGGCCAGCATGAAGCAAAGGGAAAGACGGGCATTTGCAGGCTCCAAACATGCTCCTGATGGTGTCTATGTGTGTGAATTGTCTTCCAGCCCCAGTCCGGCGCCGTGTTTTTTCTCTTCTTTCTGTTTGCTTCACAGGTGCTTCCCCTGTTCCGGTCGCGGCCTCTTAGAGGCAGGCACCTCAAAGGAGCACAGGCTTGTGCGAGGGGAAAGGCGCCCTCTGAATTTCTGTGCAAAATTGCAAGAGATGCGCGGAGGTGCAATGGATTTTCGCCAGTCAGCTCAGCACGAGTTTAGTGCGAGGGGAAAGGCGCGCTCTTATTTTCTGTGTAAACTTGCAAGAGATTCGTGGAGGTGCAACCCCTCACGCATGGATTTTCGCCAGTCAGCTCAGCAGGTGCTTCCCCTGTTCCGGTCGCGGGCTCTTAGAGGCAGGCATCCCAATTGAGCACAATGCAACGACGTCTCCGCCAACTTCTCGACCGGATCTTCTTTGGGCACCGGTACGAGCTCCACGTCTTCGTCGGGCAAAAGCACGAGGCCTTCCACCATGTTCAAATCGATCTGCTCGTAGACGAAGGTGGCCACATTCGGAGCTGCACGAGCGCCTGGTTGAAGGTCATGACGCAGAAGGGCAGGCTGTAGGCGGTCAGTGCCAAGCTCAGAACTCCTTCGAAGCCCTTCTCTTCATCCAGCATTTCCAAGAGGTCCGATCTCAGGATCCCTCGCTTGATGCTGGCCGCAGTGGCCTCGCAGATCCTTGTCGGCCGGTCGTACCGGAACTGTGCTATGAAGGACCGGGAGACGATCGCCTGGAGCATGCAGGCGAAGAGGAAGTTGTCGGTTGCCAGGAGCGTGAAGATGGTATTCACGTCGAAGACAACGTCCAGCACGAAGAAACCCACCTTCGGCAGCAAGCTGCTCCAGGTCACCAGGTCCACGTCGGTTGGCATGGCATCCGACTGGGACTTCAGGATGTCGGCGGTCTTCCGCCCCAGCTCCCTGCGGTGGTCCGCATCCATGGCGCCAGGCACGAAGCGCAGCACGAGTTCCATGACAACCTGCAGGAGGAGAAGGACCATGTACAGCAGGGGACTGCCCAAGGCCACGGTGAAGAAGGCCCACATCAAGTGTAACACGTTGACGTGCTGCACGTCATCCTCAATGCTGCCGAGCAGTCCTTGAAGTCCATGCAGCTGACTTGGAAGCCACCCAAGCTGGGCTGCATGCAGAGGAAGCTCTGGGTTCAGGTAAAACCAGAAACCGGCCCTGCTCAGCACCTTCCATGCCGTGGGATTGTGCAGGAAGGGCAGTTTTGGCACTGCATCCTTTACAAGCTCTTCCAGCACATGGCCCAGCTGGTCGCTGCGCCAATGCTTGTCAGAAACCCACTTGTCCCAGTCTTTGTCGAAATGGGCGCCGCGCAGGCTCTGCACATCCCTCGCCTGCGCCACGTAGGCAACGAGGACTAGGAGGAGGAGGCAGCGCAGGAGCGAGAGCAGCTTTGGCCCGTGGCCGGGCCTCGTTGCAAAGGCCACGGCCGGCGTGTGCAAGAGCGTCGTGTTGGGCGGTGGCCAAACCACCAAAGCCGGGACGAAGAAGCCGACGAAGATCAACGGGATCCAGAAGGGCCACCAGACCAGGAGCATTCCAAGACCAAACACGAAGACGACGTTGGCCAGAATCTCCGTGATCCGGAAGAGAAGGGCCCAGAGCCGGAAGAAAGCTGCTGCGAGAGGGCCATGGCGGCTCGCCTGTAAGCTCTTGGCGGCCAGGAGCTGTGCTCCTCGCCGGTAGGGAGCCCTGGATCCCTCTCGAAGCGGAGCTGGATCTGTGGAAGCCACCTGCAGGTAGTCTCTTGGGCTGTCTTTTGTGAGTAGTCCGGGGAGCTGAACGTTGGACGCAAGGGCAGCTGGTCCCCGTAGCGTTGGAGGAGAACCAAAACCAAGGCGATTGCAAGGCCGCCCAGGAGGGCCATTTAGGTCTTCTTGTTCCCTGCAACCCTCTGGCAAAGCTTCCACGTGGTCACCTGCTGTCGCCACCACTGCACCACATCCTTGTCCTTGATCTTTCTCCACAAGGGCACACCCAATTCGTCCACGGCCCAGACGTCGGCGCCCTGCTCCGTGAGGTACTTCACCACGCGCAAGTGGCCGTACTCTCCTGCCTGGAACATCACCGTGGAGCCGTGTTTGGTCTTGTAATTCACGTCGGCGCCCTGCTCCTCCACGAAGTATTTCACCACCTCCAGCTGGCCCAAGCTTGCTGCCCAGATCATCGCCGTGGCGCCGTACTTGGCCCTGGCATCCACGCTGGCGCCCCGCTCCGCGAGGTATTTCACCACCTCCAGCTGGCCCCGGCTCGCGGCAAACATCATCGCCGTGTTGCCGCCATCGTCCTTGGCATCCACGTCGGCGCCCCGCTCCTCCGCGAGGTATTTCACCACCTCCAGCTGGCCCCGGCTCGCTGCCAGCATCATCGCCGTCCAGCCGTCATCGTCCTTGGCATCCACGTCGGCGCCCTGCTCCGCGAGGTATTTCACCACCTCCAGATGGCCATTGCCCGCTGCCCACATCATCGCCGTCCAGCCGTCATCGTCCTTGGCATCCACGTCGGCGCCCTGCTCCGCGAGGTATTTCACCACCTCCAGATGGCCATTGCTCGCTGCCCACATCATCGCCGTGTAGCCGGCTTTGCTCTTGGCATTGACGTCCTCACCCCGCTCGACGAAGTCTTTCACATCATCCAAACGGCCGTCCTCTGCTGCCCGCATCATCGCCGTCTTCATGGCATCCACGTCGGCGGCCTTGGCGGCGGCGCGGCCCAGGACCAGAGAGACTGAGAGGAGACAGAGCAGCATGGCGAAGGCGAAGAGGGCCCAGCTTGGCTCTTTGAGCTCGGAACTAGCCGGAACGGCTGCGAAGGCGGGCAGCAATCTGGCTCGTGCGCTCCAACCAAAAGCAGCTTTCTACGGCAAGCAACAGTCTACTCTACACGCAGCACAGCCGCAAAGCAAGCTAGAAAGCCTGCGATCCCAGGCTGCCAGAAGAGGCACGCCCGTCGTGGAGCTTCAGGACCTCCTGCAAATTTGTATCGTGGCACCTCTAAAAATCCAGGGCTTCTATGGAGGATAACGCAGGGGCGTGGTCAGGTTTGTGCTTGGGGCCTTGAGGTCTAGGGTTTGGGCTATGGAAGACTGCATCCTCCTACTAGGATGGCATAGGGCCCGGCAAGGTCTCACAGCATCTCCAGGGTTGCTTCAGGGTGATGGGGCCTAGGGTCTTGGGTTCAGGGTTCACGGTTTTGGGGTTTTGGGTTTAGGGTTTTGGGGTTCAGGGTTTGAGAACTGAAACTTCCCCCCCCAAGAGCTGCAAGCTCGAAGCCGCGGGCTGGAAACCAACTCTTCTCTGAACTCTCATTGGCACGTTTTTTGGAGGTCCACAAATGGATCTTATCATCTGTAATGCTAAACTGCTCGCTTTGAACACTGTACAAATATGTACAAATAGCTAAACTAGAACGGTCTAAGTTCTATCCTTCTACCACGGTGAAAGGAGGGTTTTGTGTTAAGGGCTTGGGTTTAGGGCCAAGGGTCTACAAAGAAGTACCATAGTTATTGTATATCAAGACTGAAGTGATTTGGAAGAAGATGCACATGTCCATTGTGACGGCAACATTCCGAGAGCTGATTTGCAAGCCTTCCAGGCCTCACTGACAGCTCAGCGCACAGCGCATGGCAAACATCCACGAACCTGTGCCTTTGCCCACCTCTGCCAACCCCCAACCTCTTGCACAAGACATGAGGCACTTGATACATGCAGAGTTGATTCATGTTGCATCTTTCCTCTCACCATACATGTTGGATCATGTTGGAGCGAAGAAAACCCTGAGCCAGCTTCGTCGGGGGGCACGTCGTGTACACGACACCGGCACACACTCTCACCTTGCGACATGATGCGTAGATCAGTTTCGGTTTGGGGCCATGTGCGGTACGTGCCTCGGATATGCTGAACTTGCGAGCAAGTCATTGCCATAGAGGTCTGTCTCGCGCCTTCCTGTCAATCGAAGCCGGGTTGTTCGATGCTGTGAAACGGCATTCCTGGAAGTGCCAATCGACCACAATGTAGACCTTTTCCTCCGGAGTGCAGCCTTCGCAAGTAACGAGGCTCCACAGAGGGAAGCCGAGCAAGTGCAGCAGGGATGAGCTCTGGCGAGCCTGGCGAGCGCTGCGATGCCATCAAAGCATCGCCAGGTCGAATCGTCTCACGTCTCTGCTCAAGTCGTGGCCCCATCTGCGAGTTGCCAGGGTCCATTCCTCACCAGCGTCTGGAATTTTCCTGCTAGCTGTTCTTCGCTCTACCAGTGACCACCGCAGCTGCAGCCGCCGTCTTTAAAGATGTGCCAGCGCGATCGATCTCGAAGATGGATCTCACAGCTGTAGGCCCTGGAGGCCACCATCATCGCACCGTGACAGTCGTTGCCTCGATTGTCCATGCAACACTAAAACCCCTAAATCCCTAAACCCCTAAATTTAAACCCCCTAATCCCCTAAAACTCCTAAAAACCCAAAGCCCCTAACCCCTAAAGGCCCTAAACCATCTTCCATCTCCACAGCGCGCCAAAGCCCCCAGGAGCGACTACGGCCCTGGCAGACCCGAAGGTTCTTGGTGATGCCTGGGCTCTTCTTCATGGAACGTTCCCCAAATTATATCATAAGAGGGATCCCTTCAGGGCCCTAAGAGGCTCCTTCAAGGGGATTCAGCCTTCATTGAGTTATCATAATAGGGATCTCTGGTAAATAGCAGGGTTTAGGGCTTAATTATAGGGTTTAGGGCTTCTTGGCTAGGGTCATTTCAATTCTACACATAGCTTTCTCTGACGACTTCGAACTTCAAAGTAGTGCCCAGACGCTGATGGCAGAGCAGAGGGACTTCCGCCGATGCAGAGCCAGGGCCAGAGCCTTCTTCTCCGAGTGGGATTCCAAGGACAAGGCCTTCGGCGTTTTAGGGGGCTTCTGGGGTCTTGGGGGTGTTGGGGTTTTGGGCTTAGTGGGTTTGGGGGTTTTGGGGTTAGGGGTTTTTGGGTTTAGGGGCTTAGGGGTTTTAGGGCTTCGAGTTTTGGGGCTTAGGGGATTAAGGGTTTGGGATTCCAAAGACAAGGCCTTCTCCTTGGCGCTCTCGTGCCGGGCTGAGGCCGAGGCCAAGTCCGGCTCATGCCCCGCAGCACGCAGCCGCCTCGTCAGAGCCGCCAAAGCAGTGCAAAGCTCGGAATCCACCTCCGCGCCCTCCGCCCTCGTAGCCTCCTCGGAAGCCGAAACGGGGCCGGCGGTGAAGGTCCTCACTGTCAAGCCGCTCTCTTCGCCCTCTTCGAGGTGCAGGTAGGACTCGCCTCGCTGCTTCACCAAGCCAGAGGCCACGCGCTCCGCCTCATAGGAAACCCTTTTATGACAACGACGAACACTTAAAAAAGAGCCTAAGGGGCGCAGTAGTCGAATGAATACATGTAGTTCAGAGAAGACAAATTTGACGACCACAACGCTTGTGGAAGTCGTAGAGACGACTGATTGTACGCATAAAAGCCCCAACAAGAAATCCTTAGAGTAGCCCTTAGGGGTTCCTTTTAAGGGGTTCCCCTCAGGGTTCCCTTTCAGGGTTCCCTTAAAAGTACTTTATAGGTACCACTTGCTTACATGCACCCAAACAGCCACCCATGCATAAGTACCCCCTTTCTCCGATCCTCCAGCTTCTGAGCCTTCCCGTGCTTCCCCAAACTCTCGTAGAGCTCCGACAGGAGAACGTAGGCGCTAGCCAAGGCGGGCTTGTCTGCTACCTCCTTCAACCTGGGGGGTCCCAAGATAGCCCGGCGACCCCTAAACGGCCCTGTACATGGGGTTTTTAGGGTTGGGGTTTAGGGTTTAGGCCTAAAGCTCCCACCTGGCGAAGGCCTCCTTGGCGTGCAGCTTGGACTTCAGGTTCCGGCAGGCCCCCAAGAAGGCCATGTAGGTCACCGTGTCCGCCAGTCCCTTCGCCTCCGCAGCCTCGACGCGCTCCCAGGCCGCGTCGAAGAGCCCGCTCCGGCTCAAGCAGTCCACTAAGGCATTGATGCAGCTTGTCGTCGGCTCCAAGCCGAAACTCGGCAGCTTCTCGAAGAAGGCAAGAGCTTTCTCGGCCTCCCCGCCGTGGGAATAGGCATTCAAAAGGCTCACCGCCGTCACGGCATCTGGCGAGATTCCCAGCTCTTGCATCTTCCGGAAGTAGGAATCCGCCCGCTTGCACCGGCCCATGTTGGCAGCACTGTTGATGAGGATGTTAAAGGTGAAGACGTCGGCTTCAAGTTCCCTCTCCTGCATGGCTTGGAGGAGTCGCCTTGCGCGCTTGAAATCTGCGGCTTTGCTTGCAGCATCGATTAAGCTGTTGTAGGTTCTTGCGGTGGCTTCAATACCGTTTGCCTCCATTCGTTCGAGCTCCTCCTCTGCCGAGTCCAGCTGTCCCACGGCAGCATAGACCTGAATCATGCAGTGGTGCGACACCAGGTCCGCTTTTGCGAATCTGGACAGATCACCCCAGATCTCCTGGGCCAGATCCATTGCGGCTGCTTTGGCACAAGCACCCAAATACACATTGAAGAATGCGACGTCCGGTTTCAGTCTTCCAAAAGTCCTCCGCTCTTGCCTGTATATCTGGAGTGCTTCATTGGCCCTGCCAGACTCAACGAGGGATTTCCCCAATATCGTCCAGGTATGCTTATCGATCAACTTGCGATGAGTCTCCAGCACAGACCTTGCCTCGCTGCCCTCACTTGGGCCCTGCCGCAGTAGCGCCGCCAGGAAGCGATTCAGCGAGAAAGAGTCGGGTCGTAGGCCTTGGGCTTTCAGCTCTACGAAGGCTTTCCGTGCTACGTCCGGCAAGTCGAAGTCTACGGCTCTGTTGAGGACGATGTTGAAGAACTGCAGGTCGGGCTTCAAGGGGATCTGCTTCAAGATCTTCAGGAAGGAACCGGGAGACGCCGTGGCCGCCGAGTTGAGGATCGCACGATCAGGCTGAATGCCATGCTTTTTGGCGATCTTCAGGGCCTTCGGGACCTCTTCTGGGGTGCATTTCTTCAGCAAGCTGGCAATGGCGTAGCGGTCCGGACGATCGATCTGCTCGAAGAGGCGCCAAGCATCCTGAGCAGCACAGCCCGTCAAGGCTGCATTCCACGTGAAGCGGTTTCCTTCCACAGAGTGCTCCTTCATCCGAGACAGGAGCTTCTTAGTCGGGGTGCCCGGTACCTTGAGAACACAGGCAAAGTGAACAGCGTTGACTGCTACACCGGCGTCGGTCGCCTTCCGGAAGATTCGCATGGCTATTTTGGGATCACCCTGGCAGCCTTTCAGGGCAGTAGTCAGGTGGATTTCGTTCATGGTGATTTGCTGGCTGGCTTCCTGCCAGATCGTCCACACCTCTCCAGCATTCCTGGCTTGCGATAGCCGCTTCCGGTACTCCCTCTCCCAGTCTGCTTGCGAACCGTTCCAGCCGTGCCAGGTACCCTGTTCAGGTTCCCATTCTGCCGCTAGTTCACCCGTCTTCCGCTTCATTCGTCCACAAAATCCGGCCCACGTGCTCCTTAATTCACACCTGGGCAGAGATCAGTAGCCGCGCAGCTGACAGCTTGAATTGCTTGAATGGTGTAAAATTTTCCCAAAATCAAATCCCCAGGGCTGCCAAGGAGCTTGCACCACAGCTGCCCAAAGCTCCTTGAAGCAGCGACTTTGCGTGAGCCCACCGCCGCTGCTTAACCAGTAACATTAACAGCTGCGCGCAACATCAGTCTCGCCGACAGCAAGCAAAGATATCCGAATCCGCAATACATACGAAAATCTGATGCGGCATGCATAAGTTGATGCAACTTCTTAGCACACCTTCGGGACCTCACTGCAGTTGCATGGTGATATTTGAAGCATGTCTGAACTCGGTGAATCAACTTCGTGTGTCAAGGCGTGAAGCCAAGCACTGCACATGGTGGAAACATCTGGGTTTAGGGTTTAGGGTTTGGAGCTAATAAGGCTTGAACTGGGTGAAGAACGGGGTGAAGGCACCAGAAAACGGTGCGATTTCAGCCCAAACGATCTCTCAAAGCATTCTGAGCTGCCATGCCCCTGCGATTTTCTAGGGAAAACGGTCACGCATGCATTCCGTGCCTTTGCCGAAAAATCCTCGCCACTTCCTCAAAAACGCGCTTGTCTAGAAAACGAGGGAAACGGCCTTCTACTCCAGCCGTGAGGTTCGACCGTGAGGCCCCCAATGAGCCCTATCGCTACACGTTCAGCACAATCCTCGCTGCAGAGTCTGAAGAGCTCTGAACGCAGACTTCCCCTGTGCACCCTAAAACACAAATCTGATGAAATTCTAGTGGATCATCAACCGATCCCAGCTTCCATGCGTACAAGCGCCTGGAATTATCCTTGCATCGCCACTTTGTCGTCCTGGTCCATGCACGTTTGCGCACTGCTCTCTTCTCGACCTCACATTTCCATCGGAAGCCGCTCTCTCACCGTCATTTCCAGTTCGACGTGGCGGGCCGAATTCCTAGCAGCACAAACACCAGCGAAGCTCGCTGTCCTGCCAAGCACTCCGCGTCTACTTCGATCGCTCCACCAGCTTTGCAACAGGAACCGATCCTGGCCGCTTTCTTTTCTGTGGCCGACCAGCACCATGGCATGAAGGCCGACTTCAGTGCTTTTGTTGTTTTGGCCGAAGTGCTCGTGGATCTTGGCTTCCAGGAAGTTCTCGGTGACCATGAAGCCGGACAACTTCGTTGACCATGGACGTGCAAGCGAACCCTTCGAGTCCCGAAGCGTTCGCCAAAATCTGGGCGAGGAACGCCTGGCTTGACCCACCTTCATCTCAGAAGATGTGGTCCTCCGGCTCCTGTGCCGTTCTGTGCTTTCAGATGTAATCAGAAATCTTGCTTGCGCCAGTCTGGCTGCCCGCGTGCATCGCCACAAGGTAAGCTTGCAGCACAATTGGGGCGTGCATGTAGCACAGTCCGGAGAGCTGCACACGCTCCAGCAGCCCGCAGCTTGTACATGGATCGTCGCGGAACGCCACATAGGACGCCGCGTTGTCCTGCCACGCCGGGACTGAGTCGAGGAAGCAAGTGAAGGAGTTGCACTTGTCCAGCACACTATCGCTTCTTTCGCCTTCAAGGACAAGGCGCCCCAGGCGCTGCAGCGACTGCTCGTAGATGTCATCTGGTAGCAGCAATGCAGCGAACCTGGCTTTTCTTACCCCTGATACTTCCTGCCTCAAGATGCCCTTGGCGTAAAGGAACAGCAGCATGATCCCTCGTTCATCGAGGTCCGTCGGCAGGCTTTGCCCATCTCTCTCTCAGTCGCGCAGAGCTTGTCCACAGGTGAGACCACTCGTCAGCAGCCCTTGAAATGGATTAACGTGTTGGGAAAACATAAAAGTCGACGGAAGCATACGGTATACGGTATGGGGAAACGGGAAACAGTCCAGGAAACTACATGCACGATGAGCATGTCTATACAGGGCTCTTCACTACCCTTTTCGGGTGAGACGATGGCAGAACTAGGGTAAATTTTCCGGCCTTGGCGAAAAAACTTAGCATGAAAGGAGACTTCTATATTCACTGATGAAACTCAACCGACGCACAAGGGGCATTCGTGACCACTCACCGATAAATGATGGAGCACCTGATAGTCAATCGATGTTAGCATAGAGCATGGGAAGGCCGTGGTCTTCCGGTTCGCCTTATGTCGGCTTCTCTAGACAGCATTGTGGATTAAATCACAATAAGGTGGAGTTGTCGTCATCCAGTGTGGAGATGCATAGAACAAATCATCTTGCTAGTAATCCAGAAATGCGCCTCTCTGAAAAATGCGGGCGGACGCATCTGCAGTCCTGACAGTCGGTTGGGGTGTGCCAGAGGTTTTGAAAAATCTCACACTCTTTTCCACNNTCAACACGAAATTGGGCTGCTGCCAAAATCAGCTTCACATGTGTAAAACTGTTCAAACAAACACTAGTGCACACACATAAGCTACACGAGGCGGTGTCAAGTTTCATCACCCCGCCTGAGGTCTGCTGTACGGTGTAACCTACTGCTGAACTCAAGTGAAACGAGCTTGGATACCGTAAAAGGGCATTGGCATCCGTAAAAGCTCTCCATAGCTCCATTCTCACACGCCTGAGCACCGTAAACCTTGGCACTCGTAAATGGCGTCGCATCATCTGTTGAACATTGCACGGCAGTGATTGCAAATATTGTAGATATGGGTCTGGTTGTAGTTCCTGTAGATGTGGTGGCATCCCTCATGATGAAAACATCGTCCCTTGCCTGTGACCACCACTCGTTCCGGGGGTACTGCTCTCCCACGAGCTCTTGTAAGCTCCCTGTCGGCAGCCTCAAGCTGCTGCCTCAAGACGCGGTTCTCCTTCGCCAAGTCGCGTTTTGCACCCAAGTGGATCTTGATCTCATATTTGAACTCCTGGGCCTTCTCCTCGGACTCGACCAGGCACTGTGTAAGATGTGCCACTTTATCGCGTAATGTAATAACTTGATCCTTCAGCACCTCCCGCTCGTCGAAGTTGTTGTTGGTGTTGTCGTCGTCGCTTGCCTCGGGTCGCTGGGCAC